CCCCACTTCTGCTCATTCCTATTTTGTGTGTTCTTGGGTGAGTTGCTTAACCTCTCTGAACTTAATTTTGTGCCTCTTGTGTTATCTCAAGAGCAGTGGTTCTCATGTGGAAGTCAGTGTTGTCCCCCAGGGACATTTGGCAATGCCTACAACATATTTTTGATCGTTACCGCTGGTTGGTAGGCGGTGTGGGGAGCGCCGAGGGGGTGGGGTGGTTGCTACTGGCATCTAGTGAGAAGAGGCCAGTGGTGTTAGCAAACTTCCTGTACTGCACAGGGCAGCTCCTGCAACAAAGAATGACCTGGCACCAAGTGTCAGGAGCACCAAGGTTGAGCAGCCTTGTTTTAGAGGTTGTGGTGAGGACGAATGTTAGAGTCAAGTGTTTTATGAATTGTGTAGGGGATGCCTGCGTGGCTCAGTCATTTAAGTGTCTGACTTCAGCTCAAGTCATGATCTCACAGTCTGTGAGTTCGAGCCCTGTGTTGGGCTCTGTGCTGACAGCTCAGAGCCTGGAGTTGCTTCAGATTCTGTGTCTCCCTCTCTCTCTGCCCCTCCCCCATTCATGATCTGTCTTTCTCTTTCATAGATAAATAAACATTAAAAAATTATTATAAATTGTGTGGAGCTGTATGAAGATAAAGTGTTACTGCAGATGCTTTTAGATTGGTGGCTAATTCTGACCCTGTAAGTAGATAGTATTCAACATGTGCTGAGCATTTTACCCTGGGACCCCGTTTCTGTCTTATTCAAATGTGCTGGGCTTCATGATCTTCAAGATCCTTTCTGGCTCTGAGCATCTATGTGAGAAAAGCATACGATGATGCCAGGACCCAGAGCTGACAAAGTCAGGAGTTGCAAATTTCAGCACTTTTTAGCCCTCATGCAGATCACTGACCTGAATCTTTTCTCCCAAATAAACTTGAGATTGGCCAGGAGGGAAGAGACAAAGAATTCTTAATCTTCTTCCTTTATGAGGCAGACAAGATTTATCTGTGGCTTGTACCCGTTTGTACCCTGGAGAATAATGCCAGCATGGAAAACATAACGACCACAGCAAATCCTTACTTACTGTTCTGGAGTACCTACTGTGTGCCAGGCCCTTCTGGAGGACTTTAGCCACAAGATCTCACTGTATCATCACAGCATGCCTGGACTGTTGGCATTACTGGTCCAGTTTTACCAGTGAGGCAGATGAGGCTCAGAGAGGCTGAGTAATTTGCCTGTAATCACATAGCTAATGAGTCATCAAATTGCTTAAAAATACAAGGCCTGGGTTCTTTTCCCTCCTCCACATTCACACTCAAGGCGGTCATTTTAATGAAATTGCAATGGAAGATTAGGAAACAGTAAAATGGGTGTCAAGAAAGCAGGTGAAAGTTCCATCATTTTGTGAATTTTCATGCTCTGCAGGCAGATATGTGTCGTTTGGTACATTGGAGTAGACTCTTTAACAGAAAATGGTGCCACCAGCCTGAGCTGTCAGAGAGCTTTGACGGACAGCCCAGATAGTGGCCCATCTCTGCCTCCTTTCAAGTACTTCCTAAAATAATGGCTGTTTACAGGGTTACGGCACAGCTCCAGGTGCTAGTGATCATGATTTTGATTGATGATAATTGAGAAAACAGTACTAATGCCGATGGGCCCCTGGGGTTTCAAGGCTTTTCCACTTCTTTTACTATCTTAATTATTCCAAGATTTCATTATATTCTGTTGAATAAGAACTGTAAACACCACCTATAGGTTTCTGGATTCTGTGTTCAAACATGGCAGATTAGAAAAAGGGTTTGAGATTATGACCAAATGGGGTTTTAGTTGTTAACGGATCAGATATTCTGCTCTGAAGATGCCAACTCTTATTGTCCATCAGTGATTCTCAATCTTGCTGCCCCTAGGGACCTTAGACAAATCTTAATGTCCAGATTAGGCCCAAGCCAATTAAATAAGAGTCTCTATTTATTAAAAAATAGATTTTTTAAATGTTTGTTTATTTTTGAGAGAGAGAGGGAGCGAGACAGAGAGAGAGCATGAGTGGGGGGCGGGCAGAGAGAGAGGGAGACACAGAATCTGAAGCAGGCTCCAGGCTCTGCAATGTCTGCATAGAGTCTGATGTGGGGCTCACACTTGTGAACCATGAGATCATGATCTGAGCTGAAGTTGGACGCTTAACCAACTGAACCACCCAGGGGACCCTCCATCAGGTTAATAATTTTTAAAGTTCTCCAAGTGATTCCAGTGGGTTTAATATTTAATTAAGGCACCAACTTTTTAGTCAAGATGACATATAAAATTAACTATCACAGCGATTACATTTAATTTTACTTCTGATTGTTTGCATAGCATTTGATGTCTTGTCAATTGCTCTGTCTCTAAAAGAGCCTTTGTTGTTGTTGAAACAATCCCCATGTTCCAGAAACATATTCCCATCCAGCCTCCTAGAACTTAGATGGTCTTCCTGCAGTGACTCTTTGAGATAAGTATCTGAATCCCTGAAAAATCAAATTAGTTATGTTATGGACACAATTCATTCCATAGCAGGACTGCCCACCATTCATAAACCTCTGGTTTGCTGGGAGAACTGGATTTCTACTAGGTTCATTCAAAGCCATGCTTACCTCTTCTGAACCTAATTCAGATCTTGCCTCTCCTCTGATCAGAGCCCTTAACTGGTTTCCTACCTCTCACAGAGTAAAAGCCCACTGTCTTACACAGTTTGCAAATCTATAAATATTAAAACATAAAATATCACATAATAAATACAAAAGGTTTACAAAATTCCAACCATATTCACAATAAGTGAAAAACATAATCCACTGTTAGTTTCCATAAGGTATTAGCAGGCATTCACAAAATTAACACTATGGCAGAATTTTTATGTAAACCATTGGCAAGTCCTCCAGGCTGATTTATTCATTCATTTCACAAATAGCAAATGCCAGTTATGTGCCAGGTACCAATATAGACACTAGGGATACAGCCCTGAGCAATATAAAGCTTTTGCTGATGTGGAGTTTATGTTCTTGTGAGCAGAAACAGACAATAAGCAAACCGATAAACATAAATATGTGTAAAATGTCAGACGGTGGTAATTCCTAAGAAAATGACTAGGTGACAAGTGATGAAAGTTGAGGAGGATGTTGACATGGAAGGAATATATCGGAGGGTAAATCAGGTTACCCATGCGATGGCTAAGCAGAGGCTAGCCGAGTGTGATGTAGTAGTTGCTGGCTCACAAGCCTGGTGACCTCTCTTCTATTTTCATCTCAAGTTCAATGTGTGACTCTGGCTATGTGATATTTTCTGAGCCCCAGTTTATTCAATTGTAAAAGGAGAGGGGTGGACAACTGGGTCTTTGAGGACCTCTCTGGACATACATTTCTGGCTCTGTCTGAAATGGAATGAATGCTTAGCTGTAGGTGAACAGAGTATTGAGAGCCCTGTGTACTTAGTGTGGTGGGAGGGAAGACTAAAACTAGAATATGATAGTCAGAGCTGCTCATAAATCCAGTATTCCAGTTCCCTTTCCTTAGACTGAGTAATGGCCCCCAGAGATACCAGCTCCTAATCCCTGGAACCTGTACATGTTACCATATTTGAAAAAAGGGTCTTTGCAGATGTGATTAAATGAAGAATCTCGAGGGGCGCCTGGGTGGCTGAGTCAGTTGAGCGTCTGATTCTGGATTTCGGCTCAGGTCATGATCCCACGGTTCATGGAACTGAGTCCTATATTGGGCTCTGCACTGTCAGCAGAAATTCTACCTCTCAACCCTTCCCCCCTCAAAATAAAGAAACTTAAAAAAACAAAAAAAGAAGGCTCTTGAGATGGGGAGATTATCTTGTCAGGCCCTAGTGCTGTCACATATATGCTTGTCATGGATGGACACATGGAGATCTGACATAAGTTGAGGAGAAGCAGAGCAGACCGAGATGGGGAGATGCCAGCCCTGAAGCCTAGGGTGAGTGGGCACAAGCTAAGGAAAGCTAGCAGGCACCAAATGCAGGAAAGAGGCAAGACACTAGAGCCCCCTTAGGGAATGTGGCCATGCCGGTGCCTTGGTTTCAGTATGGAGGTATTGACTGTGTGCTTCTCGCCTCCAGAACTGGAAGAGAATAATTCTGGGTTGTTCTAAGCCACCAAGTCTGTGGTAATTTGTTACAGCAGTTTCAGGAAACAAATACAGTAGGGTTGTACTTCACTTCCCCGACTGCTTGAAGTTAGATGTGGCCAGGTGGCTGCTCCAGCTGATGACGTGTGACTGGAGCTGATGTGTGTCTCTGGGGGCCACTGTGTGCTTTGTCATGCCCTTTTTTCCTGTTCGGTGATGGGCAGGTTTGAAGATGGTGGCTGCTTGTTAGCCTGGGTCTCTGAGTGACTGTGTTGAACAGAGCTCCTGTTTTGATCCATAAAGGACTTGAGTACAACTGAAAAGTTATTTTGTTGTTTAATACTCCTGAGACTTGGGGATTACTCTGTTAGCCCCTCTTGACTGGAGTCAAGGAGCCTGGTTCGATGCTATGAAATATTCCTGGTAAACCTTTGCTCCTCAGTGGTCCTCTGGGTCCCTGGAACCCCTTCTTCAGCATCCCTCCGAGGCCAGGACAGTCTCAAACCATGTCCTCCACATCAGTGGTGTTCCATGCAATGGTGATGCCTATTAAGGTTCTGTGGTCAGAATAAGAGGAGAAAAGTTGGGTTATGCAAGGTGAAATAGTTTCTCTTACCGCAAGACTTCTCGGTGGCTTCCATATGCTCTAATGTGCGGTGTGACTTTCTAAGACAAAGAAGTGGTATTTTTAGGGACTAAATGTATCCTTCTATCTTGATTTGTTGAAATTCTAACCCCTCAGTGTGATGGTATTTGGAGGTGGAGGCCTTGGAGAGGTGATTAGATCATGGGGGTGGAGCCCTCATGGGATTAGTGTCCTTATAATAAAAGGCCAGAGAGCTAGCTTGCTTCTCTCCTGTCTGCCTGTCTGTCTGTCTCTGTCTCTTAAATGTGAAGACAGAAGAAGCAGAAGGTCGTCTGTAGACCAGGAGGAGGAGCCTCACCAGAAACCAGCCATGCTGAACCACGCTGACAACCAGATTCTATGCTTCCGGCCTCTGTAACTGTGAGAAATAAACTTCCCCTTGTCCAGGCCTCCAGGATATAGTATTTTGGTTATAGCAGCCTCGACTAAGACAGGTATGCACTGTTTGAAAGCTCTTTGTGGAAGTGCAGGTCACATCAAGGTGAAAGCAGTTCCCGTGGCGTTGGACCATGACACTTTGTGTGTCATTTGTTAGCATCTTGCATTTTCTCACCCAGTTAATCCAGGGACAGCATAAGGTAGGATAGTTTTAAAACAACTCCCTGTTCAAAAGGTAGTGGGCCCAATAAGTTGTTCAAGAAGCAGTTTAATACTTAAGCTGGCAAATTGCAGGTAAATTTTACCTGACAAATGAGAGAGGGAGGCGGGCTTCAGGGACAGTGATGGGGAGATTCACCTGACGTTTTCATGTTTTCTGTATCGCCCCGTGGGCCTGCTCAAAAGTCTGATGGTCTGAAGGATGTGGCCATGGCCTTCAGCTTGTGAGACCCCCTCCCAATTCTTACTTGTTTGAATTTTCGATGAATTCCACTGCTCTTTTTCCCCAGATATTTTCCCATTTCTTCCATGGTTGAGATCCCACCCCTCGAGCTCTTGGAGCTCCAGGCCTGAAGAATCAGGTCCCAGCTTTTTATTACCCATAGTCCTTGGAAAGACTTAAAGTGCTCTTTTAACATCCAAGACCACATGAATCTTTATGGAGAAGAAGAAAGGTTGCCAAAATGAATCAGCATGAGACTTACATGACCTGACTAATAAAAAATAAATAAAAAATAAGTAACAATAAAAAGTGATTTGACTGGTCCCACACTTAGTGGAGCCTGGAGAAAACTCAGTTCTTCTGGCATTGTTGCGTACCTGTGAAAAATGCCAAAATTGGCCCCTGTCCCTCACCTCCCCCCAAACCCACTCCTTATGCTGGTACCTTCACAGAGCTATCCTTCTGGGCGGGTGGGTCTGGCTCACCCCTTCACTCCGACCTCAGACATTTGGCTTAGCCATGTGTACCAGCATTATGGAAACAAATAAACAAAAAAAGGTCCTGATATGTATAGTGTTTCCTGATTAAAAAAAAAATTATCTCTACTAGCAGTATTGTCGCTGACTCACAATGCAGGTATCCCTGCTCTTCAGAAGTTTACTTTCTGCCACTTCACTTTTAATAAGACCTACTTTAGTACCCACTTTCACGAACGGAAATACATGTAAAGAGGATTTTCATTTTTAAGAAAAGAGGTGAGGGGTATCTAGGTGGCTCATTCACTTCAGCATCTGACTTTGGCTTGTGTCATGATCTCAGAGCCTGGAGCCTGCTTTGGATTCTGTGTCTCCCTCTCTCTCTGCCCCTTCCCCGCTTGTGCTGTTTTTCTTTCTCTTAAAAAAAGAAAATACACATAAAAAAATTTTTTTTAATTAAAAAAGAAAAATAGGTGAAAAGCACAAATTAGCGTCCAGTGTTTGTTTTGCACCAAGCCAGGTCCTTCTAGAGGCAGTGTGGCCAGGGCAGCACAAGTGGCCTGGCCACGCTCCCTCCTTGGGAGCTGCACTTAGCATCTCAGCAGCAAGCCCTCAGAGCTTCGAGCTGTGTTTGTGATGATCTGCGCTTTTACCTCTGCTTAGTCTGTTCATCTGTGTTAGCAAGATGTGTCCTAAGGTATCAGAAAATTCCTAAGAGAAGTTATTTTTGGGTGTGGAAATGCTAAAAAAAAAAATTGATGATGACCACTTCATTGCTTTACGCCATCTTGGCTTGAAAAGGTTTCCTAGGAACCGACACTGAGGTAGCAGGGGAATCCTGTGTTTAACAGTTGGCTCTTGCAGGCTGGAGGACACAGCTCCAGAAAACTGCTGCTCTGGGCCAGTGGAACATTAGCAAATATAATGCAAATAAAAGTTTAAATAGTGCTTGTGAAATTGGGCTTGCTCCCTCTTGCTGCTTAGCTGTTGCCCTGAGAATTGCCTGGATACGCCTCTTGAAAGATGAGAGACATATGTAGCAGAGATCCCCAGTTGCCCAGCCAATAGCCAGCTGACCCCCAACTGACCTCCGATGCACAAGTCATAAACATAACTATTATATGTCACTGAGCTCTGTGGTTGTTACACAGGATTATAGCAGCAGTAGATAACTGATAATACTTAATAGCGGCATACTCAGGTATGATAGGTATTCACACCTGTTCCTCTCTTTGACTCTACCCTACTCTGGATGGGCACCTGATAGGCATCATAGAGTTATAACCTACCCTGTCTTCTATCTGCTCCCCTCCCCGCCCCCCTCCTGAAGTGGAGCCTTTGGGTGGAGCAGCACAGTTTCTTCTCCCTTAGAAAGCAGTTTGAAAATTCTGCTTCTTCAGGGCTGCTACTACTGGGGTGGAAAGCCTTGGGGCTTGTCTTGGGTGTGCTTTTCCATTGGAGGAACTTCCAGAGAGCTGTGGTTCAGAGAAAGGCCTGAGGGAAAGGAAGTCAGTGATGAGCTGCTTAAAGCTTCTGCTACCAAGTTTTTAATAGAGCCTCTTGTCAAGAATGGCCTGCAGGCATTCTAGGCAGAGGAAACAGCACATGCAAAAACCTTAAGGAGAGTGTTTCAAATTGGCCTATGCCCCATATCAGCAAATGCAAAACATGCAGCAAATTCTTGTGCTGTGCATTGGTCATCAAGGGAGATAGAAGTAAGCTGGGGTCAAGAGTCTTTACTCACGACTGTTTAGGAAGCTGGGATCTTGCACACAGGCATAGACACTGCTTTGTTCATAGCCCTCAGAACTTAGGGCACATCTCCGTGTATTCTGCCAAGGTTCTCCTGTCATCCTCTGCATTTTTGTGCCGGAGTTCACAGGGGTAGCTGGCTTGATAGGGTGCTCCTTATTGGTTCTTTCCCTTTCTTTAATTCCCACACTGCTGCCCATGTCTTCCCTGGACCTCCCAGATAAATTACTCGCAACTTGAATTCTCATCTCAGGGTCTCCTGCTAGGCGAACTCAAAGAAGACTGTTACAGTCAAAGCAAGGTCAGCTTCCAACAAGTTGGCCAAACATTAAGCCAAACTTGCACAAAACAAGTTTACAACCAGTTTTAGAAGTTCTCCCTTTGTGCTCCAACTAGACGTTGTATTCTGCAGATGCAAAAACAGGCTCACAGCCAGACTGGGCAGCCTTATGGCTGGTCAGGCTACAGGGCATCTATGCGTGGAGGGATCCAAGACAAGCAAGCTAGAACCTTGAGCGGTGGTGCTAGCCAGATCTTTTTACTTTATTTACTTCAGCGAAGTGGAACTTTGACAATATTTCTGAACATTCACCTCTGTCGAATTCCTCTAATTTTTCCACTAATAATCATACATCTCTTTTGGTCATTAATTTGGCTTCTAGATAACAGTATTTTATTTTTTTTAACCAACACTTGTGGTATTAATACTTGATTAAGATTTCTCCTATTCTATATTTAACCACCTCTGGGGCATTGCGATCTAATATAAGGACTTTATTATTATTTTTTAATAGTTTATTGTCAAGTTGGTTTCCATATAACACCCAGTGCTCATCCCCACAAGTGGCCTCCTCCATGCCCATCACCCCCCTTCCCCTCTCCCCGCATCCCCATCAGCCCTCAGTTTGTTCTCAGCATTCAAGAGTCTCTCATGGTTTGTCTCCCTCCCTCTTCCCATCTATTTTTCCCCTTCTTCACCCCCATGGTCCTCCATTAAGTTCCTCCTAATCCACCTATACGTGCAAACATATGGTATCTGTCCTTCTCTGCCTGACTTAGTTCACTCAGCATAACACCCTCAAGGTCCATCCATGTTGCTACACATGGCCAGATGTCATTCTTTCTCATTGCATGTAGTATTCCATCGTATAGACAAACCACATCTGCTTGATCCATTCGTCAGTTGATGGACACTTAGGCTCTTTCTGATATGAGGGCTTTAAATACTAACTTCCTCTAGAGTATAAATTAGAATTAATGTGTATACACACACATACACATTTTGTCTCTTTTATCACACATGTAAACATATGCATAAACATGTCACATTTTACACAACAGCCTCCTGTATAGTGCAGCAATAGGAATGTCCTGGCATGTGCAGACAGTAGAAGGAGGGAGAGAGTTGCTAGTGTTTAGGGAGCACAGTGAAGAAGTTGAGGGAGGTGGGAGGTACCAGATCACACAACTTTTACAAGGCAGGTAAGGAGTCTGGGTTTGGTTCAAAGTGTAACAACCAGCCATTTAAGCAGGAAGAGATGTCTGAGTAGTGGGTAGATTTTAGAAGCAGGACTGGGAGAGAATGAAAGCAGGGGCCCATGAAGAGGGGAGAGGTGGTTGGCTTAGAACTGAGGCCAGTTGGGGAGATGGAGAGCAGTGGAAAAGCTGGGGGGTTCCCTTTGGAAATGGAAAAAACACTTTTTGCTGGTGGGTTGGCTGTAGGGGTGACATAGAACAATTGTGAATGATTCTGAGGGTTTGGACCTAGCACCTGGGAACATGGGTCAATGATGGAGGAGGAACACTTTTTTAGGGGAGATAAAAGCTTTGTTTTGGCCTTCTTGTATGTAAGATGCCATTTAGATGTCAATTGATTCACTGAACAAATTCTTAGTGAGTGCCTGATGTGTACCAAGTACGATTCATGTGTATCAGTGAACAAAAAAGACAAAGATCCTTAATTCTTGAAATTTATATTGAGTTTGCCATGAGATAGAGGAATGTGGAATACAGTACTAAGGTCAAGGGTGGAAATAGGAATTTAGAAGTCATACCTAGGCAGGTGGACCAGACATCCTCACAGGTGCTGGGGATTCTTAGAAATGAGAGTGGTAATGGAGTCTGTGTTTCATTGAATGGTATGGTCTGTGCACAGACTCATTACCAGATGCATAATTTATTACCTCAGATTAAAACAAATTCATGCTTCAAAGGCTAGGTGTCTTTATGGATATGGCTCGGCATAGTATCAAGAATGGTAGCACTGGACCAGAATGTCTGGACTTAATTACCAGCTTTATCCTTATCAT